GCTAGTCGTTCCTCGCTATTCGTTCCTCGTGAGCCGTGCCTCGCTTGAGTCGCTAGTCGAATTCCTCGTAAGCCGTAGCTTGCTAGGTTCCTCGTGAGTCGTACCCTCGAGCCGTGTCTCGCTCGACCGTGCCTCGCTCGACTCGACACCCTCTCGTGTCCCCGCTGCAGCCCGGAACCCAGGCCCTTGTGATTTGTTAATGAGCGAGGCGACTCGAGCGGCACGCACCGGCTGAGGCATATTAAGAGTGTAGATGATCCGGAACACCGGCCATTCATCAGAAAAGTAATTAGATTATTATTAGAAACGGCCGAGGCTGCCGGTCCATGTCAAGGTTATGATGCTCATGACTACCAAAGCACGAGTAGATAAAACATTGGATCCTGTTATCTGATGATTAACGTTATTGATCGCATCACTTTCGCTTGCCCCACTCACAAGTTGATGCTCAGCAGTCGTTAACGGACATTTTCCGGACTCACAGTTATGTTGATATGCATGTGGAGAGCCGGGCTACTTCCAGATTTCGATTATGATTTGGCCGCTTCTGTCATAGGACGATGCCTGATTCCCAAATGGTATGGCCTGTTGTCCACAAATGATGTGGACATTTGTTGGAAAGATGTAGCTTTACATAAAAAGGGGAGATGCAACTCGATATTGGAATAGCGGTGAGCTTTCAATGCATTGTTCAGTTCCAATAGAGTCACTTGCTGGTAACTGAAAGCTGAGTTTACGTTGATAACAGTGTGGCTGTGTTTAAAGAAGACGGTAATGGGCAAAGAAGGGATGTGTTCACTGTTGAACCATTTAAGAATGCTATTTTGTACTGAATTGCACACTACATTTTATTTTTCGCAAGCACTCAAACCTCATTGTTCGGTTAGTTCGTTGTCGACTCTCATCACTTTCTTTTGTGTATCGAGTCACCGGCAGCACAGCCACGTTCTTGCCAAGGAGCTGGGGATACTTCCGTCGCTCCAACTCTGTCTCAGACCCAGACCCTTTGGTATAGTTGTTTACCGACGCTGCATCAGAGCGGGAACCAGCTTCTCCCCATCAGGGGCCTGTGAATTGGCTGGAAAAGGTGCCTTTTTGCGCGTCCTTTATTGTTGCTGAATTTGTTCCGGTCATCCATCAACACGACAGGCTACATCCATCAAGCGTTCACCGCAGATCCAAAGTAATCGGGTTTTTAGAAGTCGCGAGCATTCCCATTAACTTTTTTCACGAAACGGCTTCTGCTACAGCTTATTTGAATTTTAGCGAAGCTTCACCTCAGATTAGGTCCAGTCAGGATCAATTGATAAAATGTTGATATTGAATATCAATATAATTTACAGCTCACGAATTTCATAATCATCGTGACTCACGACGATTATGAACAATAATGCCGGTGCGACTTCTGCAGTGCAGAGAGCTGAGAGGCATCATAAGCAGCACAGGCATCGGAATTAAGAGACAGCCCAGGCCCCCAGAGACTTGGCTCGACCTTAGCCTTCTTTACGTCTTCAATCGTTTACAAGAGGTACGGTACTTAAATTAATCTTGTTTTTGGCTACACACATATTGTATGGCTATTGTCTACCTGGTGTCCACGTTGTAAAGCACTTTGCTGATTTGGCACAATGAAAGCCTAGGGCTTAAAAACCTTGACATGCAATTTGACGTGATCTTGGCTAATGGCTAATGGACTTTTTGTACTGCATGAACTCGGGCCGTTTCACTGGTGTATGTTTTTTTTCTTTTCTTTTTCAAACCAATGAGTCATTTAATAATTGTGTGGTGACGGTGTTCAGCCTCCTCTCCTCCAGCCCTCCCTCCCTCGACACGGGAAACCCACCGCGCGACCCAAGTAGTATCGAGGAGCACTCTCAGAGGGCAGCACAACAGTTGGCAGGTGGCGCTACGCTCGCCGCATCGACAGGTCCAACATCTTCGTGTTTACGCTGTGGCCCGAAGGTTTGGACTTTGAATTGTGAAAAACGCCCGCCCGCCGCAAAACGCAAACGCCGCAAAACGCGCAAAACGCACGCCCAAAACGCCAACGCGAACGTCGTAAACAAAAAACAATAAACAAACGCACGCCTGCCGCAAACCGCAAAAAAGCGCAAAAACAGCGCAAAAAATAAAACCGCCCGCGTCGCACGCTCGCTAACCGCCAACCGAAAACGCCTAAAAATCGCCCGAACGCCGCTAAAAGCAAACACCGCAAAAAAAGAAACGAAAAAGCGAAAGTCAACCGCAAACAAATTTAACACCGCAAACGACGCAAAAAACAAAACCGCCCGCATCGCCCGCCCACCCGCCGCCAAACGCAAACACCGCAAAAACAAAACGCCCGCCCGCCGCGAAACGCAAACACCGCAAACCGCCCGCGTCGCACGCCCGCTAACCGCCAACCGAAAACGCCTAAAAATCGCCCGAACGCCGCTAAAAGCAAACACCGCAAAAAAAAGAAACGAAAAAGCGTCCGCCAACCGCAAACAAATTTAACACCGCAAACGACGCAAAAACAAAACCGCCCGCATCGCCCTTTATGTCATGAACATCATGCAAAAAAATTAACAAACAGTAGGTACTAGGTCCAGAAGGTAATAAGATGGCGTTGCCCCCCCCCCCCCTCCTCCTCCTATGTTTGAATATCCGTACCGGCACTGTGTCGTCCCACAACAGTGTCTTAGGTAAATCGCGCAAACTGCAAACACTTCACACCAATGAATTTGTGACTGGATCAATTTTGTCAAAAATGTAGGCAGATATCGGCAAAATGTATTCATCAATGATCTGTTATGACTTGCTCTTTGATTCATAATCTCTAAAACATGGGGGGATCTTTTCCAGGAAAATTGGTGGGGCAAAAAGTCGTCAACCTTACAATGTCTGATAATGAAGTTGAATAAAATCTCACACTGAATCAATTCGTTTTATAACCTACACAGATACAATATTTTGCATCACATAGACATTCCAAAGCTCCTCAATGCGAAAAAGATAGATTTGCAAAGCAACAAAGATCTAAAAATCAGCTAAAGTTGGTGGGAAAAAACGTTTATTGGTGGGGCAAAATGGGAAGCCCCGCCAGCTATATAGAAAGCTCCACCCCTGTCCTAAAAAAGGACTGAATTGTTTTCATAGATGTTTTCAGCGACTTTTCTCTGGCTGCTCAGTGCTTAACCTGCGCCCCGGTGGGGGGGGGGGCAGAATCTGCCCCCTCTCGTTTTTCGCCAATAACTTCTAAGCGCGTTACGTCAGCGACGTCAAACCTTCAGTACCTTATCATACATCAATTTAACACGTTCCCTGAAGATCGGAGCCAAATTCGACGGAAAATGTTTGAGAACATGACGTTTAAGTGACGTCATGTCACGCCATTTTCGCCTCAAAAACGGAAAAAAAAACTACGAACGCCGCTAACATCTTCATTTTTAAAGGAATCAAGACGTAACAGAAAAGGTTACACGTGATTCTACTTTTTCTATCAAATGGTCTCGATTTTGACCCAATTTTTTCTTAAAAAATAGACTTTTTGGGAAAATTATTATTAAGTCCAAAATTGTGCGTGTATCAAAAAACCGGAGTACATGTCAGAGAAGTGGTCTATGTGCACTTACATACCAATTTTTAGAAGAATCGGTTCAAAAATGTGGGAGTTATTCAAAATTTTATGACGTCACGACACACAAAATTCTTGAAATATGATATTTTCTAAAGTTTTGAACCTCGTACGGAACCAAAAATAGCACCATTCGATTTGCCGTGAAACATTGCAGCAGATAGACACCTTTTTAGGTCTTAACCAGGCATGTGCATGGAGCCGAGTGATGGATCTATGATCTCAGTGGATCTCGAAGCAAAGTATAGGTTGGGATCTATGATCCCACCGGATCCGGCGTGAAAAATACATCTTGGATCTATGATCTCATATGATCTGACGATAAATTAAGAACATGGATCTATGATCTGAGTGGATCCCACCATGCACCACATTTGAAACTATGTTTTAAAGGTTTGCGTGAATGAATCCATGAGCAGCCCTAGAGGTGCGCGTGTTGACCAGAAAAAGGCTTCATTTGTTTTAAAGTAAGCTTCACCTATGAGCTGGATGTCTAATGCCTAGGTACTGCATTGCACATCGGTCAACTTCTGTTATAGACTTTTGATAGAAGCGACACAGTAAAATTATGTGTGTGTAATATACATGATTCATAATTGCACGTCATTGCGTGTTTGCTTTAACCCTCGACGGCACAGGCCATTTTGCGTCCTTCGACGACACAAGGGTTGGTTGGTGCGACCCCTCTCGCGTTAGGCCTCTGATCAAGCTAGAGCTTCGCGGGAAAACGAGCGTGTTGTCCGTGACGAGAGGAAACCGATGATACCAAATTCTAAGGTCCTAGGTCATCGGTTGACCTTCCAGGTCAGGTCAATCAACCAAAATTCAGGGAAATCGGGACTTGTTAGAACGTCGTGAAGTGTGGCTACTATTAGGTTTTTCGGGGTGCTGATCACGAGTATCATGTTAGGTTTGATCACAGATGATATCTTCATGCATTTAGGTCAGGTCGGGTCAGACCAGGTCAGGTCAACCAGTAGGGGTCCTGCCGGGTATTTGTAACGTGTCAATCGCTTCTGACAGCTTTGTTACATGTTATAAAGGCACCAAAACTACTTCGTAAATGTTCAAATGGTTGCTACTTGCTAAATTCGAATTAAGCTCTAAAAACTAACTAGTCTAGCAACATGTAAAGTCGAAAAAGTAAACAGAGGTCATCAAAGGTCAATGGCCTGACCTGACCTTCAGGTGCCCCTGACAATCACCCTAATGCATGTTCCCAACATCATATCACATGTTTGAACGCTTGAAACCACGATAAGACTCCTCCCGTGCCGGCGAGGGTCAATGTTTTGCTGGTGAAGACAGCTGTCAACGAAATGCCTTATTTGAAAGAGAGAGAAAAAACGATTTTTTTCATTCATAGCCTCGATAAACAAACGTATCCACTTCGAGTATCCACCTCAAAGTATATTTGCAGCACATTTGTCAATGCGGTGGCACCCATTACGACACTTTTTAAACACATAACATGTTACATATTATGTAAGTCGCTGTTCACTACACTATAGCTCGATAGTATTATCCTCCGCATTTTATCACAAACATGTAGCTTCTATTTCATCCCTAGTCAATTATAGTCTATTAGGTATGACTCAGCCTGACAGCACAGAATGATACAAGACAATACAAAAACAAAGTAAAACTAAGATAATATCATCAATACCTAGACATATGCCTAGTCACAGACTGACAGAAACACATGCTACCAGTGCTTCTCAATCATAGCGCACATGTGATCATCACTAGGTTACAAGAGAGAAGATGCCTTTGGCGCTGAATAACTGCCATCAACGGTGGCAGGCTGGTAGCTCTGCTGCTGGGGCTGAGGGGCAGGCTCATAGCTCTCCTGCTGGGGCTGAGGGGCAGGCTGGTAGCTCGGTTGCTGGGGCTGAGGAGCAGGCTCATAGCTCTGCTGCTGGGACTGGGGGGCTGGTTCATAGCTCTGCTGCTGGGACTGAGGGGCTGGTTCATAGCTCTGCTGGGGCTGAGGGGTAGGTTCATAGCTCTGCTGCTGCGGCTGCGGGGCAGGCTGGTAGCTCTGCTGAGGCTGAGGGGCTGGCTGGTAGCTCTGTTGGGGCTGAGGGGCAGGTTCATAGCTCTGCTGCTGGGGCTGAGGGGCAGGTTTATAACTCTGCTGCTGGGGCTCAGAAGCAGGCTCATAGCTCTGCTGCTGGGGCTGCGGGGCCGGCTGGTAGCTCTGCTGAGGCTGAGGGGCTGGCTGGTAGCTCTGTTTGGGCTGAGGGGCAGGCTCATAGCTCTGCTGCTGGGGCTGCGGGGCAGGTTTATAACTCTGCTGCTGGGGCTCAGAAGCAGGCTCATAGCTCTGCTGCTGGGGCTGAGGAGCAGGTTCATAGCTCTGCTGCTGGGGCTGAGGGGCAGACTGGTAGCTCTGCTGCTGGGGCTGAGGGGCTGGCTGGTAGCTCTGCTGCTGGGGCTGAGGGGCGGGTTCATAGCTCTGCTGCTGGGGCTGAGGGGCCGGTTCATAGCTCTGCTGCTGGGACTGAGGAGCTGGCTGGTAGCTCTGCTGCTGGGGCTGAGGGACAGGCTGGTAGCTCTGCTGGGGCTGAGGGGCAGGTTCATAGCTCTGCTGCTGGGGCTGAGAGGCAGGCTCATAGCTCTGCTGCTGTGGCTGCGGTGCCGGCTGGTAGCTGGCCTGGTCGCTGGAAGCCCCGACGCTGGCCGGGCCCGCGCTGTAGCTCTGCGCCCCGCTGGTCTCCGGGTACTGCGCCTCGCCTTCATACTGGACGTCGGCGATGAAGCCGCTCTGGCCGTCCACGCGGTAGTTGACTGTCTGTTTGCGCGAGTCCGGCAGCTGGACGTAGAAGGAGCCCTGGACCTTGTTTCCGTCCCTAGTCTCCTGGTGGCCGTAGTCGTTTCCGTAGTCGTCCTTCACCGCCCACTGGTAGTCGTACTTGGCGGGCTCCTGAAAGGAAAATGAGGAAGTCATTATAATCGATAACATATTTTCCTCTAAAATGAATTGAAACAAAAGTCTTTGTTGTTGTTGTTTTCGCTTTATCCAATAGAAACCGTAGGCGTGATGGCCAATAAGTTTGACACAACATTCAACATTCTCGAATGCCTAGTCTGTCGTTGAGTTTGGAATTTTGCTGTCACTTCACTCACCTCAGCAGCCGGTGCGGGAGCGTAGTTAGGCTGAGGAGCAGGGACAGGAGCATAGCTAGGGTGAGGAGCAGGATCAGGGGCGTAGCTAGGCTGGGGAGCAGGAGTAGAGGCAGGAGCGTAACTAGGCTGGGGAGCGGGGGCAGGGGCGTAGCTAGGCTGAGGGGCAGGGGCAGGAGCGTAACTAGGCTGAGGAGCAGGGGCATAATTAGGCTGAGGGGCAGAGGCGTAGCTAGGCTGGGGAGCAGGAGCTGGGGCATAACTGGGCTGAGGAGCAGGAGCAGGGGCATAGCTAGGCTGGGGAGCAGGAGCAGGGGCATAGCTAGGCTGGGGAGCAGGAGCTGGGGCATTACTAGGCTGAGGAGCAGGAGCAGGGGCATAGCTGGGCTGAGGAGCAGGAGCAGGGGCATAGCTAGGCTGGGGAGCAGGAGCTGGGGCATTACTAGGCTGAGGAGCAGGAGCTGGGGCATAACTGGGCTGAGGAGCAGGAGCAGTCACAGGGGCGTAACTACGCTGGGGAACAGGGGCAGGGGCAGGAGCGTAGCTTGGCTGAAGAGCAGGAGGTGGGGCGTAGCTTGGCTGAGGAGCAGGAGCAGGGGCATAGCTAGGCTGGGGAGCAGGAGCTGGGGCATTACTAGGCTGAGGAGCAGGAGCAGGGGCATAGCTAGGCTGAGAGACAGGAGCAGGGGCGGGAGCGTAGCTAGGCTGAGGAGCAGGAGCAGGGGCATAGCTAGGCTGGGGAGCAGGAGCTGGGGCATTACTAGGCTGAGGAGCAGGAGCAGGGGCATAGCTAGGCTGAGGGGCAGGAGCAGGGGCGGGAGCGTAGCTAGGCTGAGGAGCAGGAGCAGGGGCATAACTAGGCTGAGGAGCAGGAGCAGGGGCATAACTAGGCTGAGGGGCAGGAGCGGGGGCAGGGGCGTAGCTCGGCTGAGGGGCAGGGGCAGGGGCGGCTACAGGCTGGGGAGCAGGGGCTGGATATTGCTGCCTCTGGCTGAAGAACACATTCTTCTGCGAGGTGGCTGGTCCAGTGTCAGCCAAAGCGCCCACCGCCAGACAAAGAGCGAGCAGCTGAGGAAAAGCATGGTGTCATACATCTACAATCAATGCTGAGACCAAAAACAAAACCATTTCGATCGATCACTTAGGCTGAGGATGAGTGACGGAAGCATCTTTTTGAAAGGTTTGTCTCCTTTACTCTAATTTAGGTTTGTTTGAAATCGGTATACGTCAGGGCTTTCGGTAAAAATGCCTGTTTAAAAAACGTCTGAAAAAGAGAGCTTGAAATAACATGTGAAACTATGATGCTCATAACGAGTGCTTCAGCACACTGCTCTAAACGAGATGTGCTCAATTAAAGATAAGTTTTTTCGAGAGTAGGAAGACGTTAAGAAGCCGTAGCATAAACAATATGTAAATGTAGTTCACCGAAGTCCAGCTCTGTGAAGGCACGATATCGCTAAAATGGCCACGCATTTAACTCTTCTGTTAATAACTACACGCACTTAAACGCTTCACTTTAGCACTTCTATTGCACTGACACTATCACCTCATTGCACTGCGCCGGACCCGACCCGTACCTTCCACATGATGCCTGCTGTCGTTCAGTTGCTTAAATCATGCCAGTCAGTCGGCGGCGCGCCGCTTTATACCTGCCACTCGGCCTCGGGCGACAGCGCCCGGGGCGGTATTCACGGTCAAATCACGACCACCGATGCAGGTGACGACTTGGAACGCAGGGCGGACCGTCTTCTCACGGTACTCCCATGTGAAGTCCGGGCGATGGTGGGTTAAACGGTTCCCGGCGATTGGTGAGCTGTTGACTGACAAATGACAGGTTTGTACGCATACGAGAGTTAAAAATAGAGCTTCTGAAGATGATGAAACTAACTGGCGCCCTCCTTCTTATTTGGTTGTGTGGAAAGCTCCTGATTGATATGATAATCCTTTTTTATTGGGCACTCGGCAGGGAATGACACATTTTAATGACATTTCCATTAGTCCGGTCTCTACGTTTATGCAGCCTGAATTATGCACCAATTGTATGTCCGTGTAAACGTGTATGAGCAATTATTCATCGTAGCTCCCAGTATCTCAAAATAACCTCAATCTTGTCACGAATAATGCAACGAAAATTATGAAAAGCAATGAGCAAATATTGCAGCGTAAATGTAACATACATACATGTTTGGCTATGGCTATGTATGGCTATGCGCTATTAAAAGTGTTTGAGGTATGATTAGATTGTTCTATTTTAGCACTGAATAAGCAGTTTCTGTGTTTCTTCATTGGGCCTAGAGGTGACATGACTGACCTGACCTCAGCTGACCAGTGTGGAAAAACGAGCTAAGAGAAAATGCTATTTAAAAGTTTAAGAAAAAACACTTGTGATTTGAAAACATCCCACACATCCCCTCCCCTCAGAGTCGATAGTTTCGTAATTGAAGTGTATTTCTCATGTGTCCCCCTCCCCTTGTTTTATGAAAAAAGTTATCAAGGCACTTGAAAAGGAGCTCCGAGGTCTTGCTACAAGATTCAAATCATACACAAATCGAAGTTCCGCTCATAAGTTATACAATAAGTTACAGTCAATAAGTAACAGTCGTCAATCATCAGCATTCTCCCACAACATTACATAAATTATTGATACAAATACATCATTTACAACACATTTTACACATGGAAGATAGCAGCTGGGCTTATGAGCCGTCATATCCACTGGCGCGTAGGTATAGTCCCATTCGTACACAATACACATAAGTAGTCCGTTCTTCCAGTTCAAACATCCTTCGAGTCTGTCTGACCCTCCGACACTTATTCCTCTCCCTGCGCTTCCTCTACCTCCACAACATCTGGGACCGGATCGACAGCCACCTGAGGCAGTGGAGCACCGGCTGCAGGCCCAGGGGTGCTGCTGGGGAGAATCAGCTCCCCCTCACCGTCATCCTCCTGCTCCTCCGCCACTACCGCGGCCACCGACGGTGGCGCCTCTGACGGCCGGTCGCTGAAGTACACCGGCCGGTGGGCAGCAGGAGGCAGGTAGCCCTCGACAGGACGCGGGGCGGACGATCCGTACCGTGCCCTATGACGACGAGCAGGGGCCTGGGAGCGCTGGTAGGCCGCCTGAGGAGGCAGGTAGCGTGAGTGAGGTGCAGGACGGTGAGGTCGCCGGGCGTGGTACTGCGGCCGCCGGGCTGGGTACAGAGGCCGGTGGACCGGTCGCGATGGCCTGGAAGCGGGGTAGGTCCGCTTCGGGGCGGGGGTGCTTGGCTCAGGAGCGGCTGTCGTTGGTGCTGCTGTCGTTGGCGCTGGAGTAGTTGGTGCTGGTGTAGTCGGAGCCGCAGTGGTTGGTGCTGCAGTTGTAGGCGCTGCTGTAGTTGGTGCCTCAGTAGTTGGTGGTGCAGTTGGTGCCTCAGTAGTCGGAGCCGCTGTTGGTGCCTCAGTGGCCGGCGCCGCAGTCGCCACCTCTTCCTCATAGGCCGAGATGTCTTCCTCCACCGCGTGGTACCCGTAGTTGCTGTGAGCGGCCTCCACGCGGGCCTCGCCCTCGTAGGTGACGGTGGCCTGGAAGCCGGAGACGTGGTCGGCCGTGTAGGTGACGATCTGGGTCCTTCCGTCGGGCAGCAGCACGCGGTACTCGCCCGTCACGGTACCCGAGGCGTCCTGAGCCTCGGAGCGGGAGAACTCCAGAGCCTGGTCCTCGTCCTTCACGGCGTACTCAAACTCGTATGGGCGAGCCTTCTGTAATCAAAAGAAGACGGGAGAACTTTGATTGTTAGTGACATAATAATCACTCATTGTTTGCCGTTGCATCAACTCCGCAAACTGAAGTTCTAAAAAGTAAAATTAAGAAATGTCGTGTGTGAAGCCATAAAGCATGATAACTGTCAGCATAAGTGCATGTCGGGCTATCATTACCAATTTTGCTACCGCATGTGGTACAGTCCCTCCCAGATTCGGTTGGTCACCGACCGCATGATTTGGTGATTCCATCCGAGTCCAGGTGGGCGGTGGCGACATCTGAATGCGAGCACCAAAACCACAGACTGCCGTCACCCTTCCACCACACGGGATCCTGGGGTGACGCTGTACGGTTCTTCGCTCTGTCGGCTCCTATAACTGACCTCGTGATGGTGATCTTCATATGTAAACGGCTCCTCCGGCGGCGCCAGGTCATACACGGGTGATCCGAGACATACTGTCGCGCAGACCGCGGCCAGAATCAGCACCTGAGAACATAATAATCATAGAATGGTCAGAAGGGTTAGCGGTGCATGGGGCGCGGACGACGCAAGGGAGAAAGATTTGCAACAATCGACCGTTTTTTATCATGATTGTCAGTCAGTATCAGTATGTTTTCTTTCTTTCGGCAAACGTAAAGCAATAAAGATTAAAAAGTTGATTTCTGGACAAGATCGTAATAATAGATAAACGTTCTCCTGATTCAGGCATTCTATTATAACCTTTTCTTTATTGAACTGGGGAACTAAGCGAGCAGAAATGTGCAAAACAATTGCATTTTACGGCTTTTCGGAAGCTGTTTTCTAAATAGCTCGTTGGGCAAAGGGCAGGCACTTGTTGTAGCAACAGGTCTCTGGAAAGTTCAAAACACAAACAATGCAATATTTCGCCAATATCTAGATAATCCCATTTGACGATTTCTTTAAGTCATGCTACATTGGCAAACTGCAACATTCCATATCCCATATGTTGCTTGAACGCCGTCCCATAGCGTGGCACCATTGCAAAACTGATACCCAAACGTGTCATGAAATGACTGAATTGGCGTGAAGAAATCGGCGGCGCAATGGGCGCGATCTTTACGATTGCTGATGTGAACTGGCTCGTCACCCATTCGGTCCGAGCGCCCGTGGGAGTGGGACTCTGCGCGCCCGGCGCCGGTCGGTCACCACTGCCGCGAGCTGCGGACTGCTCCGATCGCGACCGGCACGGCGCTCACTGGGGTGAAGACCGCCTGTATCGAGGGCGAAAGTGTTCTGGTGGCAGACGGGCCCCGTGCTGACCGACCCGGCGGCGAGGATGCTGCTTCGCCCGGCGCGGACAGATTCACTTTCGGACGAGTGTCGTGCGCGGACTGCGCGGCAGATGGGGAGGGATGCAGCCAGGCACAGGAATGGGACAGGATGTGATCACTGACTCCCGATGGCACTGATCAGGACTGGATGACTTGAACGTTATGCTTATGTAATAATGCAACAAATTATCTCGAAGTCGTTGTTCTTAATCATTATTCTCAAATAAATTTGATTCGCATGATTGAATAGACGGATTGACAGAGCCGAGGCTCGTGCGAAGCAAAGCTTGTTGCACCGTTATTGCCTCCTCGTCCTGCTAAACGTCCGCACTATCCACCTGGAACGTACATACGCCATCACTCCACACCGCACTCACGTTCATGGCTGCAATCCTCCTTGTCCTGTCCGGTCCTGTCCAGTCCTCGAGCCACTACGTTCAACTGCCGCCCAGTGGGGACTCCTGTATTCTTATACGGTCACACACAGGTCCTTGGTGGTGTGTAATTGGGTAGGTGGTGGTCAGCGCGCATCGTCCATCGTGTGTGACCTGCCCGCGGTCATTGGAGCGTGCCGGCGGAACTGACACCGGAAGGACACTGACGACGCCCCTCCGGCCACGGACGGGGTCCCACGCGCTTCGTGTATCGGTCAGTCGACGGCGACACGGTCCCTCCGGAGATGTCCCGAGACGAACATTGACGCAGCGTGGCGGACACAGCGCGACACCATAAACCCATCTCTGTTTCGGGACAGCTCTCACGGATGTTGAAACACAGGGCCATCACCAACAAATACAGGATGTTGAGCTGATGGTATAATAGCTCACAGGTCACGGACCATGAGCATTGAGTTGTGAACAGGTCACAGATCGCTACCTCAGTCCGGACCTATCACCGGGGGTCGTTGACACTCGACTGAGACACGAGATCCATTCGACCGTCCCGGCTTAAGAACGGCCGAGAGCATCCACCCCCGTAACACTAAAATGACACTATTGACCAGGGATGAGACAACGCCCGTCGCCCAGTCAACCATCTTACGGTAGAGAGCATTTTACCCTCATGCAAATAGTGCAGCCGTTTCTGAATAAGCTGCCACTTGCTGAGTTACCGCCGCTTTTTTCCGTTGTCTTGATAAGTTTGAATCAAATATCAATCAGACATCAACCAACAGGGGATTTTCGATCAAGAAGTTAGCAGCTAAACTATTGGAGGCAAACATCTTCGCAAAACACTTACCTACATATATTCCAAGGGAAAGTCTGCATTCCATTTCAGACCTCTTCTGTTGCCGTCTTTTATTACAAAAATCCCCTTTTCACGGCTCAGTCTGTGTAGTTCGTCGAACCCGATTTGAAGTTTGTATGGAAGAGAGCCATTTACCCCGCTTGTTTTGCTCAGCGCTGATAATTTAGGTCGCTATTTAATTTTAGGAAAAATATGCGTTTGATGCGATGGGTTCAACCTTCGACGATCAGCAACAACTTCAAGAAAGGGGTAGGTGTGTGGACGTGTGGAACAGTGGAACAAACCGTCGCCGAACACTGACTGATCAATGTGCTTGCATTGAAACGTCAGCGAGTCCGGAATAGTTGATGCTTGATAAGAGGGCCAGACACCCTTGCTTTCAAGCTTCGCGCAAAAGTCAAGGTCACCCGATTGCTGAGCCTAAATCAGCAAAGCCCATGAGAACATAACCCGACGATTGCGGTAAACGGTTCTGAACCTACAAGTCACGCAGTTACTGGCGAAGAAACGCAGTAACACAGCTTGACGTTGGCGTGGCATTTTTGAGCAAATAGCCACTAATACACACTCATTGACCTAAATTCACTTATTCTTCACATTGACGGACGTCGCTGGAAAAGACTTCATACAATTATCACACGTTAATTTTCAGTAACAGCCCGAAGCGCAGCTTGACTTCGTTAGGTATGGCGGTCGCCATTTGTGTTTGTCGGGTGTTTCTCACAATTATCAGTGATGCGCGCCGAGCTATTTCACAAGGCCGGTCAGTTCCGCCCCATGGGAGGTCGACTTCAAGACCGTGGCAAGGACGCAGCGCTTCAGTGGCACGGCAGTTCAATGGTACGGTGGGATTCGGGTCATTTATTTTACCGGCGCACGTCAGTCTGGACGCGAATGGTTTGTTTGACAGCATTTATTAATCAAAAGTGTAGGTGCTCATTTTGCTCGTAATGAATATCGCTGAGCAGACCGTTGCGTGAGAGGCGGGCCCAAACTTTTCACAAGCGTCACTTCGTATAATACGTGTATCTTATTAGTGCTTACTTCTATTTGAAATAAATCTTTAAAAAAACATTAACAATTCTGCATCCAATCTTGAGTCACAGCAGCCGTGCTAAGTTCCAACATCTAAGGTCAGCTATATCTTTCACTTTTGTCCAAGTAATGTAGTAGACTTAAGCAATTATTTCATGAGAAAATTCACTGTCTTGACAATTCCTTGAAGACATGATCTGTCTCACAGCTCCACACGGTCTGTTCCACTCATCAATTTTCTTGGCACGGTTATTCTTTGGCTGACGTAAATGCCGGTATCAAAACATAATTAAATCATTATGTGTCCGTTTAAATCATGTAGTTGACCTGCTGTTACATATCGATACAATATACAATGGCTGATTGTTCTTTCGTCCACAGAGGTAGGTAAACGTTATATTGGTATGCGAATGCGTGGCTGTTATATTTACATATATAAAAATCAAAATGTCCGTATGTATGTATGTATGTATGTATGTATGTATGTATGTATGTGACGCGTCAGTCACGCTTGGCGGGCTATTGCTCCGGAACGGTGCGGGCTACGGGGGTGGAATTTTGGGCGCAAGTCGGACGCGTGCATCTGTTTGTCGTATCAACTTTTCGAGGGGGTGCGTGCAACGGTGTGCACGTGGCGGGCGCATCTTTGCAGCATTTTGGGCCGCGGCCTGCTTCGGGCAGACGGCACGCGCCTTAAGCCCTTGTTACACTGCCGAATTTTCGTACACGAATGTGCACGAATATGCAAGTCATCCTATGTCGCGGACCGATTCGGGATCTTTCTTCCACGGTCTTGGCATTTCGCAGACCAGTCGTTGTCCACCGCGCGACTTTTACGGTTCGTCACGACCGCCACGAATATTTCATGAAAAATGAAAATTTCGTGGCCGTTCGCCGAACTTATAATAAACGAACATGATCGCCTAACAGTCGCCGAGTCGCCACCGACATGTCGCTGCGTGCGCCGACTTGTTGCCAAGGTATCGCCGACTATTCGCAACAGATTCGCCATTCATTCGCGATGTTCGCCGAATCATGGATCAGCTTCGACCCGCGCACGATTAGGGGGGCCCCCACCCGTTCTCTCCAAATCGGTCTCTGTCGGCGAACTGCTCGCCTCTGTCGGTGAACTGTTCGCCGATTTACTACACGACGTGATTCGGCGACAGGGTCGTGGCCAAAATTCGGCAGTGTAACACGGCCTTTAGGCTCAGTTTCTTCGCTGCAAAACTGGGTGAAATCAGAGCCGGAAGGTCACTGACCTTTGGCAATGAATACCGGAACAGAGCACCGCCGGCCAGGAGGAGACGCCAAATTTATTCTGGCCATAACTCGGCCGCTACTGGGCCGATTTTATTGAAACTTGATTTATTACGTTGCACGTAATGCTGTCCCTCTTTACGCTGCGCGTAATGCTGTCCCTCTAGTTTACATATATAAAAATCAAAATGTCTGTATGAAACGCGTCAGTCACGCTTGGCGGGCTGTTGCGAGGCGACGGTGCGGGCTATGGGGGTGAAATTTTCGACGCAAGTCGGACGCGTGCATCTGTTTGTTGTATTAGATTTTGGAAGAGGTGCGCTCGGTGGTTTGCACGTGACGGGCGCATCTTTGCGGAATTTTGGGCCGCGGCCGGCGCCGATCAGAGAGCACGCGCCTTAGGCTCAGTTTCTTCGCTTGCAAAACTGAGCAAAATCAGAGCCGGAAGGTCACTGACCTTTGGCAATGAATACCGAAACAGAGCACCGCCGGCCAGGAGGAGACGCCAAATTTATTCTGGCCATAACTCGGCCGCTACTGGGCCGATTTTAATGAAAATTGATTTATTACGCTGCGCGTAATGCTGTCCCTCTAGTTTACATATATAAAAATCAAAATGTCTGTATGAAACGCGTCAGTCACGCTTGGCGG